ATTTAAGTTTAAGGTAATACAATGGTGGCGAAGGTGTGGCTATTAGGGGAGGATGGAGGCCATTTATAAAAAAAAAGTAGTAGTAGTAGCAGTAGTAGTAGTAGTAGCAGAGAGACTTTAAAACAACTGAAAGAAAAACATCCCTCTGCAAGTGATGACGAAGGTATCAGGTTTCAGGGTGCCTATATCCCACCAAATGCTGTCCTGTTCGAGAAAATAACAGGAGGGATGGTGTGGAAAAAGGCACTGAAGACTCAGGGAGGTGCCGGCCCTTCAGGTCTGGATGCAAACGGATGGAGAGTCATCCTCAGCACTAACAAGTTTGGCCCCGCAGCAAGTGACCTCTGCACGGCCATTGCCGTCCTTGCAAGAAAGCTGGCATCCTCATGCTGCCATCACCTTCATGCTCTGACGGCCTGCCGCCTCATTCCCCAGGATGTAGGCCAATAGGAGTGGGGGAAGTGCTGAGGCGAATCATCGGAAAATGCATAATGGAGGTGGTAAAGGACGATGTCAGGGCAGCAGCAGGGAACCTGCAAGTTTGTGCTGGCCAACAAGCTGGAGGGGAAGCTGCCATTCACGCCATGAGAACGATATTTGAGCAGCGTGATTGTGAGGCCGTTCTCCTGGTCGACGCTTCAAACGCATTCAACATACTTAACCGCAGGGCCGCACTGCACAACATCAAGATCAAGTGTCCAAGCTTTGCAATGTACGTTGAAAACTCATATAGGAATCCATCAGACCTCTATATAGTAAACAACAATGCCCTAAGAGGTGATACCATCTTACAGTCAACCGAGGGAACAACACAGGGGGACCCTGTTGCAATGGCAATGTATGCAATAGGCCTATCAGTGCTCCAACAAGAAATAAAATTTGAAACAACTGGGGTCAAACAAGTGGCGTATGCTGACGACCTTACAGGAGCAGGAAAAGTGGAGGACATCAAAAAGTGGTGGGACTTGGTAACATCGCGAGGTCCACAAATAGGGTACCACCCAAACGCCAGCAAGTCCTTCCTCATCGTGAAGCCAGAACATTATGAACAGGCAAAGGAGGTTTTTGGCGGAAGCGAAGTCAAAATAACTAAGGACGGCCAAAGACATCTAGGCGCAGTAATTGGCACTACGGACTTCAAGACCGAGTACGTAGCGGGAAAGGTGAATGAGTGGGTTAGTGAAATCCAAGCTCTGTCTGAGATTGCTAACACAGAGCCACATGCGGCTTTCGCTGCATTCACCCATGGAGTCAAGCATCGTTGGAACTACCTGATGCGTACTATCCCTGGTATCGGACCCCTCCTCCACCCTCTGGAAGAAGCTATCAGTGTCAAGTTCATTCCCAAATTAGTGAAACACACTCACTTAACCCCAGCAGAAAGAGAACTTCTTGCACTTCCATCAAGACTGGGAGGGATGGGACTGACCAATCTAGAGGAGATTGCAGCCACCAAACATCAAAATTCACTTAAGCTCACGGCAGCCCACACGGACCACATAATAGCCCAAAACACAACAGGGGAGGTCGTGACCGGTGAAGTAAACGAGATTCGTAGGTCCATTACGACAGATCGACAGCAATGCCAAAATGATAAGTTGCAGCAACTGTTGCTGCAGGTTCCAGAAAATTTGAAAAAAAAGTAGCTATAACGCAGGAGGTGGGCGCCTCGAACTGGTTAACTACGTTACAGATAAGGGCAAATGGTTTCAGTCTTAACAAACAAGAATTTACAGATGCCATTGCTCTAAAGTACGGTCGGCCAGTAGAAGGTTTGCCCTCCCAATGCGTGTGTGGCTCTTCCTATGACGGCGATCACGCCATGGTGTGCAAGAAAGGGGGCTTCATATGCATGAGGCATGATGAAGTAAGGGACCTTACAGCAAATATGTTGAAGGAAATCTGCCGGGATGTCATGGTAGAACCGACCCTCCTTCCATTGGATGGTGAGATCCTCCAACATAGGACTTCAAACACATCTAACGAAGCCCGTGTTGACGTCAGTGCTCGAGGATTCTGGACGCGAGGACAGCGAGCTTTCTTCGACATCAGGATTTTTGATCCCATGGCCGCATGTCACCGTAACCTAGCTCTCGATGCTGCACATAGGAGGAACGAGAACGACAAGATAAGGGCATATGGGGAGAGAATCCAAAACGTTGAGCAAGGCAGCTTCACTCCCCTAGTGTTTACAACCGCTGGTGGGATGGGACCAAGTGCAAGATGTTTCTACGCCAGACTCGCGGAGGTGATCTCCGAACAGAAGCAGCAGCCCAGAAGTTTCGTTACAGCCTGGATGAGATGTCGACTGTCTTTCTCTCTCCTTCGGTCGGCTTTGCTCTGCCTCAGGGGAATGAGAGCTTCTGCCCCAATTCCGACAACTGCTGCAGATATCGACTACGAGGCTACAGTCACTGAATGCCGCATAGATCTGCGGCTCAACTAATTTAACACAGATAGGATAGCTTCTTATGTATTAGGATATTTAAGGTAAATAAATGGTGGCGAAGGTGTGGCTATTGGGGGAGGCTGGAGGCCATTTAAAAAAAAAAAAAAAAAAGTGGTAGTAGTAGTAGTAGTAGTAATAGTAGTAGTAGTAAGGTTTGTGAGTGTATGTTGATGTGCGGGCTTGTGTGTATAAATGTGAGTAATTGTGTATGTGCCTGCGTGAAAGCTTGAATGCAGCGAAGACTGTTAGCATAATACATAGGGACCTAGGTTTTATGCTTATTTTTAAATGTTAATGGTACACAAAGGAAGGATTAGTTTTATAAGAATGAACAGCCATTTACGTCAGACCTGGCGTCACTAACAGACAGGTTGAAAAGAAGCACCGTGGGGCTGGTAATAATTGGGTGAGCAATGTGGGTCTGATAAAAGTGGGAGGGGCACCGCGGGTCTGGTATCACTGCACGCCTCGTTGGCCAATAACTGTACAGGTACAGTGCGGTAAGGTGTTCCTTCACCCCCCCCGTGGTTACCCGTGTCTCTAAACGGCCAACTTACAGGTAATTATGACCTATAGCAAACCCAGCCACCAATCACGTCCGTCGTTACGCCACCATTCGTTCACAATTTTTTTTACGGGGATTAGCCCACCCGTGCACAGGTCACTGACTCACATCGGGGCCTGGGGGGGGGGGATGTAATAATAATAATAATAATAATAATAATAATAATAATAATAATAATAATAATAATAATAATAATAATAATAATAATAATAATAATAATAATAATAATAATAATAATAATAATAATAATAATAATAATAATACACACACACACACACACTTCGTCTCGCTTTAAAACAATAACCATCAACCTCACACGACTACCGTTTTAATGCTAGTCTGTCCTAAGGGTTAAAACTCCGAGGGTCGCATTTGGTCTCGGGGTGGAGGAGGGGAAGAGACTGGTATGCGAGGACTGAGGTATAAAAAGGTATAATGGTAAATGGATATTGGGAGTGAATGACTTTTCGTCTTTGTGTCTAGTGTGTTGTGGTTGAGGGTTGTGGGGGTTGTAGGTTCATCATCATAAAGTTTAGATAGATAGATAGATAGATAGATAGATAGATAGATAGATAGATATTCAGTAAAATCGTTAGACACGTTTATAATCGGTTTAGCATACAGGTATGTATAGACAATGCAGGTGTATACAGTTCAGCGATGGAGGATATAATGTCATGTTTCTCAGCGTCGTCAACAGGTTTTTAATAATTCGAGATTCACGCTGTTGTGGTCTCGAGCTAAAATAATTAATCTGAGATTCACAGATTTATAAATTTTCGTAGAGTCAAGTCAGTGGATTGTAAAAGGGAAGGGGAGTGGAGGGGGAAATAGTTTTTGTGATGGGATTCTGCCGAGACTACTCATATCTGCAGCTACGAAGATGGGAAGCAGGGGATAGTCACGGACAAAAATTTCCTTTACACTCCTGTTTGAAATTGCATCAGACCCAAAGGAGATACAAGAGCGTCATTTATGGGTAAAGAAACAGTTCGGAGACTCATTCCAGCAGCTCGGAGTCACAGGCGCTTGATGAGACGTCTGTTTGTGGCGGCACTTACGAACATTTGAGACTATAGACTCAGTATCTCTCAAGTGCAAGACAAGACAGTTTCACAAGATGTCCCCTCTAGTCTCCCCCCCCTTCCCCCCCGACGCCCCAGTTCCCGTTCCCCTCCTTTAAAAAACAAAAACAAGTATATTTTGTGAGATTATCATACCATGTTATTAACTTTATATTGGAATTGATGATAATAACGAGGTCATATTGGAGTCGGCAACATTGTTTACTAAGTGCATTTCCTGCTCGTGATATATCAGGTGTTACGGGCGACTGAGTGTTGCACAATATGTCTTATTTATTAGAAAACTTACAAGAATTACGAGTGTACAAAAAGCATCGTTTCTAGGAATGTGATATTTGGTACATTGGACGTATTGACAATCACAAATCAAAACAACTTTACTCAGTCTTGATCGATGTATAAGTGAGTTTACTGATGAGAATACACACTTGCTTTACTTGAACCTCAACTGACGTACAATTTTCTGAATAAGACTTCCCCTCTATGTGAAAGTCTAGCCTTTTCCAGGAACACAACATATGCTATTCTGATACCCAGGGAGATATACGGACATCCCATTGCCTTGTTATGGGTTGACAGAAGCCCGAGTGCCTCTACCTTGTCCGTAAACTTCTTTACTGTATTGTATTATTGCACATCGACCGACAGTTTTGTTGTGGTTCACTTTTTGTCATACCGTTTTATATGGTATCCCATTGATTTCTTATTGTAATTGTCTGTATTGTATCGTGTGTAGTTTTGAACCGTTATGTATTATTTACAGTAAATTGTTTGGAAAGAAGTGGTAAGTAATCGTATGGTATGGTAGTGTCGAGTATAGAATGGCACAGCATCGCGCGATATAGTATGACGTCGTATGGTACCATGATGAAGTATATTAATGTAATGTTTTCTTCTCCAGACTGGCGGTTGTGTTGCAGCAGCGCGGGATCGGATAGGGTGAAGAGCGGTAGCGTCACGGTACTGAGGAGGACGGCCACCTCTGTGTTAGTCAGCTGGACGAGACCTTCCTTCCACAACCTTAAATACGAGATAACCTACAAGCCCACCAACGCCAAGTGGGTTCCACCTACCACCAATACTATGTTTCTTTCTTCTCTAGTTTTCATAATTAATTACAGGAACATTTGCCAAAGCACAGAATCAAATACTCTTGACTTTTCGTAGTCACAGCGTAAGAAGAAACCAGTCTTCGTAGTCAGTGACTGCTCTGTTTGTTGCAGCCTACAATCGAACATGCTGGAGTTTTCACAGTTGAATGCTGGCGAGTTTGTAGCGCCACAAGATCAATCACGCTCGAACATTCGTAGAAATTTTGTTTTGTTTGCCGTAGCTTATACCTCATACGTGTGCTTCTCCCTATATGTCGCTTGAATATTTCGCAGGTAACAATCCCTGATAGACTAGACAGGCTGCGTGGAGTGAAGTAAAGAGCCATACAAAAATTCCATTGGCGTAGCAAATAGCACAAGAATACTATATCTATAAGAAAACTTAGTAGGCAGAGAGAAGGTTAAGGGGTGAAGACAGAACAAGGTGAACGAGAACAAGGGTGGTAAAGGAGTGTATAGGCTTAGGCACCCTGTATCATCCATTAGAATACTTACTTTAACAGAAGAGTGAGTTAGACACTGGCACTGGCGCCTAATTCCCATGTGTGACGGGTTGATATATCATCTCAGAATAATTGCCAATTAAACACGCATCTACCTCACAAGGAATATCGTTCAATAGTTCAACGAAGGAAATAGCCCTGTTGTACATTTAAGAAGAGATTCATTTTGATTAAATTTTGGGATGTGTGTGTGTGTGTGTGTGTGTGTGTTGTGACGTCAGAGCTTGAACTGGGTTACCAGGATCAGCGCAGGATGAGGACAGAACACACACACACACCCCGGGTGTTATCTACCACCATCCCATGTTGGTCATCACCAGTTTGATCAAAATTTCTAGGACTTTCGACCAAGATTCTCTTCAACAAGGGCTTGTTAGCGAAGACCAGAGCTGCTGCATTGCTCCTCGGGTGATGTGTGGGCTTCTGGCTGCTGTCCAAGACACACCAATTAGCAAATGCCCAACACCATATATCTTATAACATCAACGTAATTAACGCTTTAAGTGATAATTCCTGCACCTGAATTCTAGACAGGGCTTCAGCTGTGTGTGTTCGCATTAGCTTTGTAACACAAGATTGTACACAAGTCTTCCGGAAATACAGGACAGTTCTCCGCATACACTAATTAATGGTTGCCGCTTGTGTAACGAGGATGGCCGGCCCAAGGGCCACCTAGGCGTGAATTTGTTTAAAATGTAGAAGCTGTCTCCAACTTAACAACCACACCCTGAGTTAACGAGCTGCATGACCCAGTGTCAAGGAATAGTCCAAGAAAACCGGACAACTCACCAACTGCACTAGTTAACATTACCAAGGGATACGATCCGCAAATCGATTAACATCCAGGGGCCGGATACTCAAAACAACCCATAAGTAAATTTAGCATAATCAAAATTTAATTACAGTTCCGTAAGCAGTTCTTAAGTTATCGTAACTCTAGTGTTTACCCTGTAAATTCAGTTCTCTTGTCAGAAGGTACATGGCAGTGCAGGAGCTAGTTGGCCAATCAGCGCTCAGTTAACAAAATCATCAACCAATCACAAGAGAAGGAGAAATCAGCTGAGAACGACGCACGTAATATAAGTTTGTAAACAAAAGATGGAAGGACAACCACCTGCAAAGAAGAGACGCCCAAATTTCAGTAAGGCGGAAGTATACGCCATGGTGTGTGAAGTCACCAAGAGAAAGAAATTAATTTTAGGGAAGTTGGACTCGAGATGTACAATCAAATTGAAGAATCATGCCTGGGATGAAGTTGTAAAGGCAGTGAATGTTGTTGCTCGAATCCCCCTGGTGTTTTCTTTTCAAAGTTTGGGTCATTTGGTCTGAATTGTCTTCAAGTTCATACAAAAAAAAAACTTAAATCCTGAAATTATATTGCATTAGCCTTAAAGTTTCTAACATTAATACTCTACCCTAGGATATTGTTCATGGAAAGACTGGAACTAGGCCTAAGGTAGCTGTTAGACAAAGTGTCTCACTGACAGCCTGACGCTCACCAATATTGCCATGTACATATTCTCTAACCTAACCTAACCTAACCTAACCTAACCTAACCTATCATAACATAACATAACATAACATAACATAACCAAACCTAACCTATAAACTATTCGTATAATTTCCTATTTAAATATTCTTCATGTTCTAACTAAATTAACTAGGCCCCCACGTTTAAACATTTATTTGACTAAGACTGAAAAAAGCAGTTATATAAGCCCCTAGCTTAATCAAGTTAATTGCAATCCATATTTTACGCCTAATATCATTTAATTTTGGCTAGCCTATGGAAATTTAGAGCCTTTCATGTTATCATAAGCCATATACATAAGAAAATAGGTATAGGTTATTGGTTGAATATTAGAAAAACAAGGCGAGGTCTAGGCAGGAATATTCACTTGACCTCATATTTGGCTTTCATTACTGAGGGATATTTACGGCTATACAACATTAATAAGGTCTATCTGTAAGTTTACTCAGTCATAAAAAAATATTTTTACCTTAAGTGTGAACAATACAAACCTTCTGTTTTGGTAAAATATACTTTATAATTTGTAAGAAGACAAAAGATGCGTCTCTTCCAAACTACGACAAATAGGAACACTCAAGCCTCTTATTATCGTAAAAAAATATTATATTTCAGTATGCTGATGTACAAAACATTTTCTTCATTATTCTATGATAAAACAAGTCTAACAAGCATTATTACAACATATATTATTATTAGTATCATTATTATTTATACAATCGGGAATTAGCGACTACTACATCCGGGTTGAGTGTTACAGAACCTCAGGAGGTGGTGTAAGTTATGCACTAGATTATGAGCTCACTTACGGAGTTCGATGTCAAATATTTGTTTTGAGTATGCCATCTGTGTTTTGAGAATACCGATCTGAGACTGTAAGTCCAGTTACGGGGTAAACAAAGACATACAGTCCCATAAATATTTTTGAATATCCGGCCCCAGGTCCCCAATTACTGATGGGTAGACAGAGGCAAATGGCGTAAAGAAACTTGCCCATAGTTTCACCCTACCCGGGGATCGAACCAGAGTCTGCTCGCTTGCGAGGCGTGCATGCTGACCGTTACACCACAGGTCGCCACTTACACTCATTGTGTCACTTTATATTACCAGAAAACTAATACGCATGTGATAATTATTTTATTAATTTGGGGGACAGATTTTTTGTTACTAAATCAGCGAGGCATAAAACTCGTACTGGTCTAGCTGGATAGGTTGAGGCAGGAGGGGACTGGAAAGGGACTGACCTCAGTAACAGTATAGTATTTTACCAACACAATACTTCACTGATTCATCAAATTTAATGAATATAAAAGGCTTAATTAACTGATCATTCGTTTTAGAAATAGTTGTAACATTATGACACGTAATTACTGTCAATCAGGAAACTGTTGTATGAAACTCAATTAATTGGCTGAGTTATGTAAACACGTGTTGTTCACAGAATTTGTTGACCAAATAACTACACGCTTCGTCACGCCAGAGCGATGATCCCATTAATTAGTGATATGTTTCAGGTGCTGTCGTGTGGAGGTTTATGTAATATCAAATTATCTATAACTACTGTAACTTTTAGCATACAGCGGAGATTTTTAGTTTCTTAGTTGGGCGATTTGCTTTAATAAAGGAGAAAAATAGAGGAAAGAAAGACCCATACAAGATATACAAAGACGATGGTGACCACTAAGAAAATTGACTCACAGTCAACCTAAACGGTAAAATATTAATCGACAGACGGACAGACATTTAGCCTTATTTTGCACGGCGTTTTGTACCACGACGTTGTTTATTAAACCTGTGTGTGTGTGTGTGTGTGTGTGTGTGTGTGTGTGTAATAATAATAATAATAATAATAATAATAATAATAATAATAATAATAATAATAATAATGATAATAATTAACGGTTTATTGAAAGAGCATAGCAGCCAGAAGGCTGAAAATATACAGTTACGTGTGTGTGTGTGTGTGTGTGTGTGTGTGTGTGTGTGTGTGTGTGTGTTTGTGTGTGTGTGTGTGTGCCACGAGATCAGTGTAATGCAAACTTTGAACACCTGAACACACACACACTTTCTAACCACAATATCAAGTCAACAATGACCAAATTTTATAAGAAAATAATCAAAAAGAAAACAACGGGAACCGATGACGTTAGAGACAATTCTGATTATGATGATTTTAATCATGAAAATAATGATGGTAATATTTTGATGGAAATAACGATAACAACAACAATAATAATAATGATTATAGTGAGGTGATAATGATACTGCAGTAATGACGATGATAACGATAATAAAAGACCCCTAAACACTAGAGTCTAGTAACTAGACTAACAGGGATAGTGACTTAAATACCTCACAGTGTGGGATTAACACTGAGCACTAAAAACATATTAAAAAAAAATATAAATACAAAGGGTCAAAAATAAACAGTAACAGTGAACAGACGCCATTTTACACATTGCTTGGCTTGGGGGTGGGAGTGGGTGTGGTTGGGGGGAGAAGGGGGCAATATTGATGAGACGACTGAACATGTACGAAAAAAAATGACAGGTAGTATAGTCTTGATCCTTTGACTGGTCCACTGAGCTTGTATTGCCCAGCTGACATAATAATTTTTTTCTAACGAAGTAGCGTCTCTCTGTTCCTGTGGCGTGACGAGTCAAATTATTATTCATGAACTGAACTCGGTCATTTCAGAGAAGATTGTTGACACACTGTTGTTGTGTATGGAAAGTTTGTACAAATAAATATGGCCATGAAACTTAAAAAAAACATGGCCACCAAACAACAAAAAATATTGCCATCAAACCATAATTTTTAATCATAAGGTAATGAATTTTTTTTTACACTAATACCAAATAAGCATTGTGTCTATAATTTACATAAAAAGATACTTTCGAATTTCCCGTGAAATG